AGGAAGGAAGGAAGGAAGGAAGGAAGGAAGGAAGGAAGGAAGGAAGGAAGGAAGGAAGGAAGGAAGGAAGGAAGGAAAGACAGTTTCCAGTTTCTTGCAGAAGCTTCTGGTAGGTATCAAGTTTAGGGCTCTGGCTTTGTTCCTCAGGTGGTGGAATTAGAAAGGGGATCTTAGTCTTGGCTGCACACTGGAGTTACTTGAGATGGGCTGGAAAAAAAAAACCACTTTAATCTAAGTAAAGTGGGTTCTGGAAAGGAGGATGCTGTTCCTTGTCTCTTCAATCCCGCCATGACACTACTCTTCACCCCAGGTTTAGAAGGTCTCGCTCTTTAGACCCTACGCCCGAATTTCCCAGTGTGTGGTCTGTAGCTCACCTACTCTAAGATCACAAGGAGTGTTTACAGAAATACTCTCCCATTCAAAATGAAACACTATTAAGAGATCTGAAACTGTGTGTCTACCCATCGAAATTCTATACACATGCACACACACACACATTCACACACACACACACACACACACACATTCACACACACGCACACACACACATTCACACACACACACACACACACACACATTCACACACACGCACACACACACATTCACACACACACACATTCACACACACACACACACACATTCACACGTGTGCGCACACACACACAGTCACTGATGGAACTTATGTTAAAAATAGAAGTTAGGTGTACATGGGCAGCATTTTAAGCCAGTTTTTGGGTTCCCCAACACCCCACTCCTGAGGTAGAAGCCCTTTTCTGTTGACTCAGGTTGCATGAGAAAGTTCTCCACCAGAAGAGTTTGAAGTCTGTCTGCTCAAGTCTTGACAGTGGGAGAAGTCCAGCCTCAAACCTTCCTCTTAAGTTCATTTATACCCCTTGAGACTCAAACAAAGTGAAATTAAAGTTTAAAACCAGAGACAAATCTGTTCCTACCCTCTAGGCTATGCTGAGTGTAAATTCCCCAAAGACAAAATGTCCTAGCTCTGGGAGCCTGTGATACTCCGGGAGCCTGTGATACTCCAGAAGTGATAATCCGGGAGCCTGTGATACTCCGGAAGTGATACTCCGGGAGCCTGTGATACTCCAGAAGTGATACTCTGGGAGCCTAAGATGATAATCTGGGAGCCTGTGATACTCTGTCTGGGAAATAGATTTCAGCAGTGAGATTAAGTCAGCTGCCTCAAGATGGAGAAATTGGATGCACCACCATGTGACCATGTACCTGGTTTGAGAGGGACATAGCGATTTTTTTTTCCATGCACAGAGAGATGTGTGTGATGGCACCACAGGCCAAGGAATGCCACTGGCCAAGTAAAATTGGATGAGGCAGAGTGAATTTTCCCAACTTTCTGAAAGGAGGATGTGTATGCCAACAGAACTTGGACTTCAGCCTAGCAAGACTGATTTTAGACTTCTCACTGTCGAACTAAGAGAATAAATGTATGCTGTTTTAAGATGCCCAGCTTGTGATCATTTGCTATAGTAGCCGGAGAAAAATAACATAGAATTCTATTCTAACACCGGGACCTAATTTAGCCTATACCTACTGGGCTCCTGTGAGCCAGGCACCCACGTGATCCGAGGGCACTGATTGACATGGAGGCCCACCAATAAAAAGCCCCAGGACGCCACAAGAAGTGCCCGTGAGCCCCTACCTCTCGGTGCAGTTTCAAGTGAACTTCAAGCCCTGGCAAGCTTTGGAACTGCTTGCTCACAGAGGAAATGAGTCGGTACAGCAGATAATCCACAGCTGCGAACAGCACCCACATGTAGAGGTGGGTCAGGATGGGAAGGAAAAACAGCCCCAGTTTTTTCCTGTCTTTGGGAGTCAGCTGCAGAGATGGGATGATGATGTAGTTCTTCCTTTCCTTCTTGTTCAGAGGGAGGACACAGGGCCGCTGTTGGTTCCTCTCCTTTTCATCAAACTGAACAAATCCTCTGGTGATATAGATGTTCTCATACTTCCAGCCACAAGGACCCAGGAATCGCTTCATGAAGAGGCCAGTGCTGACTAGAATGAGCAGAAGCCCGGTGAGGGCAAGAAGCTTCTGGCCTAAGGAAGACAGAAGCTCTGTCGTGACTACCATATGGGACAGGGCACCCAGGACTTCTCCTTTAGTGTCATTGATATGAGCCTCCAGGGTACGGCTGGGACTGAAAAGGGAGACCACTAGAGTCTGGTTCCAAGAAACGAGGTCATCAAACAGGTTCAGCGGAGTGGCGAGGCCATAAATCCACCGAAGGGCTTCACTATATCGTGTTAAAAGTGGAAAATGTATTGAAAAGCTCTTGGCCCTTAGGTTGCAAGTCATGCTGTCTAGGAGACCTCTGAAGTTATGAAACATATTTTCCACGTGTCCGAAGATCACCACCCCGGTGCCTGCCGCAATCAAAGCGTTTCTGCCTTCGCGGAGGCCGCAGGAGAGGAAGGCCAGAGGAATGAAGCACCGCGCATGCTTGGAGCCGCACAGAAAAACACAGATGATCGTCCAGACAGTGGAGAGCACGGCGATTGAGGCGGCTGATGGGAGGACCCAGTAGCAGGCTGCTGACAGGAGGCTCACGGAGAGGAAAGCCACAAAGCAGCAAACTCCCAGATGCTGGATCAAGTCCAGCCAGCCAGTACTTCCTGGAAACACATATATCCCCCAAAGCCTTAGGAAGATACTAGTGCCCCAGGTCCAGAGCCTCATACTCCCTGTGTCCCTAGAAATAAAAAAGAAACCAAGTTCAGAAATTGCTTAGAGGTCAGAGAGCAGACTAGCTGTAAATGCATGTCTTTTCTTTACCGGTCCCTTTGTCTGCTCCTTCCTAGTGGACACCCACCAGGAAGTGGGAGGTGCTGGCACAGAGATCTCTGAGTTTGAGGCCAGCCTGGTCTACAGAGCAAGCTCCAGGATAGACAGGACCGAACCGAGAAACCCTGTCTCAAGAAAACCAAAACAACTGGAGAGTGAGGTGTTTCTGCATCTTTTGGCTCCAGACTGGCCTCGAGATTGCTTTAACCAATTAAAGGCCATGTGACGCCTTTGGGCCTGTGACTCACGTCTTCATACTCTATTCTAGCCCTGCCCTCTGCTGATTTGTGTAGTTAGTGTCCTCTTGACATGATAACAAATACCGCAAACTCACCAGATTGAAGAAACACCCATTTTTTTCTCTTGGAATTCCTCCTGGAGGCCAGTAGTCTAAGATGATCTGTGACCCATTGGAGGGTCCCAAACATTGCATTACTTCCCTGTGCCGGCTCCCGGAGGGGCTTGCGTTCTCTGGGTCACAGCCCCTCCTTCCTCCATCTCAACGGCAGCCAGGTTGATTTTTCCCTTTTCTCTGGCCCCTGCTTCCATCTTTACCTCTTCTCCTCTAACTCTGATCTTTCTGCATTTTGTTTCCAAGGAACTTTGTGACATTTTAGGGCCACTCACCCAGACAGTCTAGACTAACATTTCCTCTCAAGACCTTTAACTTCAGTGCATCTGCAGGGTCCCTTTTACCATGTAAGGTGGCATATTCCGGTTCTAGGCATTGGGGCACAGACCGCTTAGGAAAATGTTGTTTAGCCTGTCACATCAGGTTCTAGACGTGAGCAACATTTTGTCCTGATGCTTCTCTCAACTGAACAAAAGGCCAGGCAATTGTCAAATACGTAAGACAGACCCTCCCCCCATCCCCCACCTCCCCGACCTTGCAGCCAGCCTTCCAGCTGGCCACATACACTTGAAAAATAATAAATGCTGTTTCATTGGGTTTTCTCCCCACCAAATTTTCTCCTGGTCTGCTTGACGGTAATTGTTCATTGACAAGAGCAATGATCCTGTGTCGTAGCTTCTAAGAGTTGATGGATAGCCGGGCGGTGGTGGCGCACGCCTTTAATCCCAGCACTCGGGAGGCAGAGGCAGGCGGATCTCTGTGAGTTCGAGGCCAGCCTGGACTACCAAGTGAGTTCCAGGAAAAGGCGCAAAGCTACACAGAGAAACCCTGTCTCGAAAAAAAAAAAAAAAAAAAAAAAAAAAAAGAGTTGATGGATGGGCTGCAATGCCAATAAAGTGCATTCTGCAAGAGCATCTTTAATACTCATCTGTTTTCTGTGCTCTCATTTTACAGACCAGAAAGCAAACCAAGGACGTCCAGACTGGAGTGTGGAGTTGGACAGGTGCCTCAGCGCCTTGCTTCCTCTTTTGCGTCCCTGCCTCATGAGTACAGGTCCCTCTGGAGACTATTCAGGGAAACTAAGAATATTCTTGTCCCTAAATTAATCATCTTTTCCAGATCTGGGATAATTAAAATTAAGGTGTTATAAGGCTGATTCTACTCTGCTCGATACACATATTTAGGTCTGTGATGTACTTACAATGAGTTGGGTTCGTTTAGATTGATATAAATAAATTTGAGGTTTTCCTCTCTCAACTGACATAAAAATATCTAATGAACATTGTACCATATGTATAAGATTTAATGGGGACACTGAGAAGCCTTTAAACACTCTCAAATATATTTGATTTCATACAAATATTATGGAATAGTATTTATGGTGCAGCTTGACACTGAGAAACCCATGTGTTCATTGCACTGGGTGTGGAAATGATGAACGTAGGTGGTGGCTATGGGGCATGAACTGAGCAATCAGAGGTGAAAATCAGGCTGAATGAGGTTAACAAAAGGCAGAATCAAGATGGAGGAAACAGGCACCTTAGTAATAAGCATGTAAATTTCCGGTGCTTGACACAGAGAGCTTGCAGATGTCATTCTGAATGGATATTAGCAGAAAAGAGATGCAGAGAAAATTCTCAAGGTGAAGAAAGGCTATATCTGTTGCTTTTGTTCAATGCTGCAACAAAATTCCCTGAGAGAAAATCTTGGTAGGCTATTGAAGGGTGGGCGTTCAGAGGCTTCAGTCCAACTCGTTTGACCCAGGATGTTGGGCAGAACATCCAGACACCAGGAAGGCCACGCAGAGGGCAGTTGTCACGTGACAGAAAGTAGAGTGAGACAGGAAGTGAGCAGGGATAATAGAGAGTGAGACAGGAAGTGAGCAGGGATAATAGAGAGTGAGACAGGAAGTGAGCAGGGATAATAGAGAGTGAGACAGGAAGTGAGCAGGGATAATACACCCCTAAGAACTTTCCCCCAGTAGCTCTTAACCTCCTTAAGCTCAGTCCTACCCCTTCAGTGTCCATAGCCTCCCAAAACAGTGTCATCATCTGGAGATCAAGCATTCAAATTAAGAGCCTACGCAGGAACATCACACATACTCACTCCCATAACAAGGGTCATGGTCACCTGGACTAGCTTCACAGAAATCAGGATCCTAAACATGTGGAGGCAGGAAGATGGCCCAGATAAGGGCATTTGCTTTGTAAGCCTGGTGTTTTGATTCGTTTTTGTCAGTTTGACACAGGCTAGCATCATTTGGGAAGAGAGAACCTCAGCTGAGAAAATGTCCCCATCAGATTGGCCTGTGGGCAATCCTGTGGAGCATTTTTTTTTTTTTATTAACAATAGACCTGGGTAGACCTATTCCATGGGAGGGGGTGGTACCAACCCTGGATGGTGGTCCTGAGTTATATAAGAAGAAAGCAAGCTGAGTACGCCATAGAAGAAAGCTGGGAAGCAGTACTCCTCCATGGTCTCTGTTAGAATTCTGCCCTTACTCCAGCTGCACACACGCAGTTCAGGGGGTTGCATCTTACATCATCAGTGAGTGCTGGCTACTATGTGCGTGCGGCGTGGTCACACAATCAGCACACGCGTGGTGTAGCTCCATCTGGGGAGCCCTTAAAAAGCCAGACGCAGACCCCACCCTCTCTCTGCTCTCTCTCTCCCCTCCCCCATCTTTCTCTCTTGCCCAGGCCTGGTCCTTTTGTCCCTCCCCCCCCTTCCTCCTAACAAAGCTCTCTACTACTAAGTAGCTGGGTTCTGTGGTGACCTTTCCGCGGTAACCAGCGCCACCACCAGCACCATTTATCATTCCTTTCGGTCTCTGCTTCAGTTCCTGCCCTGATTTCTCTTTATGATGAACTGTAATTTGGCCATATAAGCTGCAATAAGCCTTTTCCTCCCTGAGTTGCTTTTGGTCATGGTGTTTTGTCACAGTAATAGAAACCCTAACGAAGACATATGGCCACCTGAGTTTTGCTACATGGAACCTACATAAAAGTGGAAGGACAGAGCGGACGCCACCGATTTGTCCCATGACCTCTACATAGCAATACATAGTAAATATACCCCACTCCCTCCCCACTAATACAATAAAGTAAAAATATTTCTTAATAAAGACTCCCCACAGGAGGCTGTTCTAATTTCATCAGAGGGAAAGGGAATTAGAAAGGAGCTTAGGGTGGGACCATGAAGAACCATCATTCTTGACTCCTGCAAACTTTTGTCATTTCAGACTCAAGTCAGATGGAAGGTGAGCAGTGTTCGCACACGGCCAGTATCATCAATGGGTCTGTGCTCTGGGCACTTCCCTGCTGGCTCTGCACAGGAGGGCTTGGTGGACGTTGGACAGTGCACAGCACATCCACCCCGGAGCAGGTCAGGAGCTGTGTCTCTCCTCAGACATGGCCCCAAGCACTTTCCTTGCCATTAATTTTAGAATAACGGTAGAACTTTTGGATTCGATCCCATGCTGTTATTGGACCGATTGGCACGTAGAAAAGCACTAATTGTCTCTTACATCAAGGGCACTTTGCAGGAAGCCTCCACATCCCCCCCTACCTCAAACGCACTTTCCCTTTTACGCAGAAGAAGCGGAAGTTGTGAGCCTTTACTGAAACTTGCCGGCCTGCAAGCAGAGTGGCTGGTGGAGTGGAATTCAAAGCGTTGCAGCCATCACCTCTATGTCCTGCCTAGATCTCACAAGTCTGGGTCAGGGGACAGGGCACTCAGCTGTCCAAACTTGTTCCTACCGGAGACATGTCACACTCACTGCCTGTGACTGCTAAAGAGCTGACCTAAGTATCCCAATCCCATCTCCGTTATCTACTCATTCATTTTTCTCTTCTTCATCAAAACAGTTGACCCCGCGAGGTTAAGATGTCTCCAACCAGCAGACTTGTCTTTAACCTATTTAGAACACCCAGTTTCAATTTTTTTCTTAATTTCCTCTATGAGGGCCCAATTTTTCTCATCTGCTGAAATATTAATAATGTATATTGTAGGCTCATTTCCTCCTTCTCTTGCTTTTATCCTCGTACAGCATGTTCTTAATACAGACATTCCTCCACAAGTATGAAACAGATTTATAGACACATTAAAATTTTAGTATTCTACAATAAAATCTAATATCAATTAAACGAGATCTATGGCTGCAATTTCATCCCGTAAGAGGCCCGTGTTTACTCAACAAGGGACAGCTCCACCCTCCCCCTCCCTGTCTTTGTGCTGAGAGCAGACTGTTACCCAAAGACACCAACCCTTAGGGAGGAAGGCTGGAGGCATTCTCCTGGGTAACAAGGGACAAAGCTGAGCCCAACCTTGAACCTCCCCTTCCTTACCCTCATGGGGCTTAGATTTCTTCCCCACCTTTGGCTTATCATTTTTCCTAATTTAGATGACCTGATCCTTCTTGTTGAAGTTCGGGGTGAGAAACTTCTCCAAAAACCTGGACATTCCCTGGAAAATGATGTGTCCCATCAACACAACACATTCCCAGATCGTCGTGTGCTTCCATAGAAAACGGAGGCTTTCTATTTTCTGATCTAGGGAAATCTTGAATGCTCAACTTCATGGGAGCTGAGTGGCAAGATGGCTGCACCATTTACCTGGTACTAGGATGTTATGTTATATAGTAGACTTTGGCGATCTCTTCTTGCTTCACTGTGGGCCCCACCATCCTGCTAGTCTTTCTTCAGGTACTCTGATTCTCTCCTTTCCTAGGACCAGTAAAGTCCAAAGTCTGACAAGCTATTTGCTTGTTTCTTTCTCAGAGACTTGGAGTCAAAATTTCCTGCATGCATGTCATGATCAGCCAGGGACACCATAATGGAATGCCTTAGAAAGAAGCAGGAGACATTTCTGTTTCATAGTTTTGGAGACTGGAAGACCCTGTTCAAGGTCTCACAGGACCAAGCTCTGGTGAAGGCGTTCTTTCTGGTATGCAGGTGGCTGATGTCTGTCTGTGTGTCCTCACACAGCAGAGATGGGAGAGAAATCCCTGGCTTCGCCTCCTCTTTCTACCCCTCCTCATCTTCTCCTTTTTATTCTTCCACAGTATATTATCTTTAGTCAAATGTGAAGACTCACCCTCTCTTCAGCAGCGGCAAGCTTTCCCTCTTCTTCTGAGGACATCAGTCATATTGGGTGAAAGCGGCAACCTGTAGACCATATTAACCTAAACTTCCTTAGAGAGCGCTTTTCCTCACACAGCCGCACTGCGTGCACTGGGCTCGATCCCTAGAACCTTTCTTAGGGGGAGAGCTGACTTTAAAAGATGTTGGCTCAGTCTGGTGGATTTGGGGCTCAGCTGTCAGTTTGCACTTGACCTTCCTGAAGCTCATCACTTCCTCCAGTCTCCCCGCCCCCTCCCCACCTTAGCTCACTTCCCAGCCTCGCCCTGGAGTCACTGTCCTTCCCCTTTTCGTTCCTTGGCATAGTTTGAGGGTGTTTATTTGAGCTCTGTTTGCTTCCCTTCCTTGGTGTTTACAGGACTGAGTCCTTCATCCTCTACACCATTTCTTTTGGCAGCTTCTAAAAGCCTACTTGATCCCTTTAACCTATCATTTTGCTTCCATTATCAATAATGCTGATTGCCTGACTCAACAGCCTTGTCTCTCCAACAAAAAGAGCCTGCTTCTCGCTTTTACAGCAGCAATTTCCCAAAAGCAATCACCGCTTCCTTGCTTTTATCTCTAGCCTATAGTTTGAAACCTTAGCTAGAGTAAATAACAGAGCACCACCAGGACACCATCTCCCTTTCACAGGGTTAAGGCGATGCTCAGGAGACCCAGTGAGAAGAAACAGAAAAGAACAGGGCTGTGGTGAGGACCCTGGACCAAACCCAGTGCCCTGCGGAGATGCACAGCCTGTGTATTTAACTTGAGCCCATGTTTACCTGCTTTTATGCAGAGCTGAGCTGTTGCCGTGGAAACAGGAGCATCAGCCTTTCCCATCCACCCTGAACATGCAGCTAGCAAACACAGCTGCCATGGTCTTCTCTGGCACTGTGTCACACACACACACACACACACACACACACACACACACACACACACACACACACAAAATTCCAATGTATCAGCATGGCCTGGCATGGAATTCCCGAATTCCCACCCCATACCCAGTGTCAACTCTGCCCACCTTACTGGGAGGCAGGGACACCCCTATTCAACCTTTGAGCACAAATCAAACTTCAATATGCAAGTATATTTCCTATCTTACTTCAGATATAAGGCCTGGCTGGATCTCATAACAAACAGAGTCATGAAATGATGATGACAACTTGCACGGGAACAGCCAACCCTACGAGTGTTCTAGATTGCTCTAGAAAATGCACATCCCCACTGGGGCACACAGAACACTTGCTGCTGGAGCAAGGCTAGAAGGAAAGAACGTGGCCGTCTTGCTGGGGAAGAGCAGGAGCCTGCAGCCTCAGGAACCATGCTATTCTTGCTGGCTCTCTCCGGCAGAGCACCGGACTGTTCTGCTATCTCACACTTGCCAACTCGCTGACCCTGCTTCTGGACAGAGGCCAGTGGCCTAAGCTCAGCCAGCCCAGATAATCTGCAGACACCTGGGGGAACATTAACCCAAAGGGACAATCTCTCCTCCAGGACACCTCCAACCAGCTCTGCCTCCAGCTTTCTTCAGGACCTGACATGATATGAAACTCATTTGAAAAGAAATTCCAGCAAAGGGAAGAGTGAAATAAGAAAGATGCGGGGCACAGAGGCAGGTGGCCTGCTCTCTAGCCTGCATCTACCCACACAGACTATGTGGCTTTTCATCGGTCATTTCACCTCCTGGGCCCTCTTCAAGGTCCCTGCTGGCCCAGCCGTCTCTGAGTGACAGATGAATGAGAGCCACAGATGCCTGGAGTGAGCACTTGGCAGCCGCTTCTGAGGCAGAGTATCAGAGCCCAGAATGGGACAGAGGAGGAATGAAAGGCGGCCGCTTCCTTTTTCTCCCTCCTTTTCTCTTCCCTCTTTCTTTCTTGCAAACTTATCATTTGCTTGGGAACACGCTGTTCTCTCAGGCTGCCAAAATAGCATGCGCAGGAGCCGCGACCTCTCCTGAAGTGGAATGAATTCCTCACCAGCCTGCTTTAATCATTCTTGCCTTGGGAAAGCCAGCAACTGCCTTCTCCGAGAAGGCTGCCTCCATACAAGAAGGGAGATTAATGAAAGCTGAAGGGTAAACAGAAGAGCGTTTAGGGAACAGTTCAGTCCCTCACTGTGAGCTGCCAAGCTGGGAAGCTCACCGTTGGCCGGGTTGGGCCGCTCTGCATTGGTGCAGCACAAACCAGCTCCCCACGCTAACCACGGCCAGGACGCCAGGCCACAGAGATTCACCCTTCCCAAGCCAGGTCGATCCGAACACACTGTGCCTTCAGCAGGACATCCCTGGGCAGCCTTCCCTGAGATTATGAGTAGCCAGGTACCAGCCCCCCAAAGCTGTCTTCCTGCTCCTTCTCTACATGGGCAGACAGCTGAGGTAGACGGGCAGTTTACAGCAGTCCTCTCGAGTCATGGGCCTCGATTCCAGTTTACTAGTATTTTCTTTTAAAAACAACTTTAGAAGCAAGATTATTCTGAAGGTTTACTTACGAGTTTCCCTCTGCTTCCTCCACGAGCATAAAACACGCCCTCCTGGAAGCTCCAAGGCTTAATATAGAGCAGGGAAAGGGGAACTAGACGTGACAAGGTGGCCACATCACCCTGAATCAATCTCTTCATTTCCCTCACAAAGTGACTAAGTCATTTCATATCACCAAGGGGAAACCGGTGTGAAAGAACCGTGGACTTCATTCTAGCACTTTCCTTAGAACATGTTCCAGGCATTAACTCTAGGAACACGAAGATTTGTGAAGCTGGGGACCGCCTCTCTCTCCCCTCTTTTCTCCTCATTTACCCAGGAGTAGGGGTGGGGTGACAGGCTAGTTTTACCCCCAGGCTCCATCCACGACTAGAGTCAGGTTCCTGGATGAGCCCAGGGTCTGAAACTCTAGTCAGTGTCCTGCCTCAAAACCCATGTAGGACGCACCAGCTTAGACATTTAGCTCCGTGGCTAAAGGACCGTTGTCGTTTAAGGGAATTAGGAAAACCTCAAAAACTCTTAATTAGTCTGTGAAAGCTTTTATCTGAAAATTTACAATTCCTAGTGAAATTTAAGTGTCACTGAGAAGGGTGTCACTTTAAAGATTATTATTAATCAATTATTAATAATATTTTTGATCTTATGGCTGAGTGAAAAGCAACAGAAATTTCAAGATATTAAGTCATATTTTCAAAACTATTACTCATGTAATAGTAACAAGCTTGGCCGTTTTTCAAAAACACACCTCCACATCAAATGTGACAAAGTAACATTGCAATTAGTCTCCTGATTAAATTATCAATTTTCTCCCTTCTCAAATATTTTTGTCTATTGCACATATGCTATCTGGACTCATCAGCAACGCCAACGTTTTCCTGTCTCCCTAAAATTGCGGAAGTATCATCCATTTTGATTCAACTGAATTATAAATCAATAAGCATTTATTGAAACTCTACCAAATGCTTAGACACTGAGAGATGTAAAACCCTAATAAAATTCTATCTTCTGATTTTAAAGGGCTTGAGATTTATTAGAGAAACAAATATATGTGTCTATCTGTGTGTGTATACATATGTATCTACCTACACACACACACACACACACACACACACACACACACCACACACACACACATTGGGGAAAGGGTTAAGGAGTTGGCTCATTCAGTTGTACACTTGCAATTCCAAAATCTGCATCCACAAGTATTTTTCCTCTCTCCATTGAACATTTGCGAGTGCCATTCATTTTGATTCAGTTAAATGCAGTTGAATCTATAGGTCATTTCTCTGCAGAAGTCCCTCTTCCTCAGAGACCCCAGTCTTCACTCTTCACCTGAGTAGATGAGGCCTGTCTATTTCATAGGTTCTTCATGCAAAGTTGATTGATTCAAATGTTTACCTCACTCAAAAAAAAAAAAAAAAAAAACAGTCTTCATGATATAGATCATTTGGCCAAAGACCTAGCCAAACTGACATCCAGAA